GATATGCTTTCTAGTATCAACCTTAAAAGTAGAGGCAACTACTCTGAAGATGACAAGATGTAAAAGATATCCATACCGGTTTTGATTATTAACAGCTCTCAAGTCCTACAATGTTTTCAAAGTTGTGTTTTTATAAAAATAGCTATGTAATACTATGCTTAACTATATTAAGCCTGATGATGTGGACAAGTCTATTGAAAATAACAAGAGAAAGCATAGTAACTATGGTAGATCACCTAATATTGTGGTCTTATGTGTCTTTTTCATTGCATGTTTTTCTAGGAATTTGTTTTGCTATCTTGTTATGATTTGTTTTTCCCTATAATACAGAGAGGATATATATACATGTAGAAATTCACACATGAGAAGATTTTTTTAAAACTATTTACAGGAACAGATTATATAAAGCAAGATGTAATGAACAGATACTCTGAAGAAGAAGAGACACTAAACCCAATGCTAATTCTGTAGCATTATGATATAAAATCTAGCAATACTATAATTCACTGTTCTGAGTGATATTAGTCTAGTCTCTTAAGTTCCATTTCAACATGTGTAAAGATAGGACAGCTACTACAAGAGACACTATGGTAGTTATTATTGTCTTCCCCAATGTCAGATCTTGAAGACCTAAAAAGCCTTCATCATCCTGTAATGATTTGGTTAGTTCTATAATATGCAGTATGTATTTAATGTGCATGAAGATGGGGGCAACTATTTGAAAGAAACTAGAGATAATTAGATAAACAGTGAAGATCTCCAGTGGACTTGCTTTGAAATCTGTATTTCTTTAAATTGTTTCTTTTTGAACTGTTTTGTTATGTTTTGACATGTTTAATTTTACCCTCTTTAAGATAAAAAACAAGTGTATGGGACTGATAATCATATTACTAAGTTTTCGTTAGATCATTGAGTAGAACTGTTGGCAGTGTCACTGTTTGAATGTCACTTTACATACTTTAATTTTTGTAACCTGAACAACTATTTCTAAGATGACAATATGTAACTTATCAACTGGTGATTTCTTACCATTTATTTTTCTCTGTAATTCTGTATTATTTCTACCCTTTTTTTATCTCCATGTATTTTTTTGTTTCTTTCTCTTTAAATAAAAAATAAATAAATTTGGATCCCTTTATCCAAGCCCCCCAAAAATGTTTTTTATTTAAAAAACATATTTTATTTAAAAACATTTATATAAAAACATTTTTTATTTAAAGACATTTTTTATTTAAAAACATTTTTATTTTTAAAAAGTTATTTATTTTTAATTGTTTTTGAAGGTAGTAAAATACGACAGAACAAGACAGAACAAAGCCAACCGACACAAAGCAGTGAAATTGGTACAGAACTTTACAGCAGGTTACCAGGATAACAGTAATAGGTACCACAGTATATCTCGTTATCTTCACAATAATTTTCCATCAATCAGGTATAGCGATATAATTCCAAAAACAGAACATTATAAAACCTATCAAAACAGAATACTGAATAGAGCAAAACAATTAATCAGAATAGAACAAAACAATGAAAACAATATTTGTCTTCAAAGAGATGATAGAAAATCCCCCATACTTGCTATCTTGCATCCCAAGAGATGCTCAGACCACTGGCACCCAGTTGCTAACTGGGGATGGGATGTTTGATTCATGAGAGACGCTGACTGGTTTTCTTCCTGGCTCGTCCACTGCTTGCTCCCATCAGGGCCGCTGACCAGGAAGAGCAGCATGTTGCTTTGTGGCTCAGCCCCCTAAGTTCCAACATGGCTGGAGCTCAGAGACCATGACTCAAAATGTAGATTTTAAAGTTAAGATGGGATTTTTTTATTGTGATAAGAAAATAAGCAATGATTAGATATTTAATTTCACCAATTATCTTTCAACAGCTAAGAAGATGATGAGATTATGTTTTTTAATGATACTTGAAATTATAAAAAATATTTTCTAATATCAAATCTTTATATTCACGGGACAAATCTTAGTAATTTAAAGTAATGCTGGATTCCATTTGCTGTTATATAATTTAGGACATTTTTCACTGATATCAATAAGTGATTTAGAGTTCAGAGCCATTTTTATTTCTTTGATTGCCTGAGTTCTAGCTCAGGCTGTTCTAAGGGTTCCATGTTCCTTCCACATATGTCAACCATGGTGTTTTGTAAAAATCTCTTGCCATCATTTTGGTTTAATGATCTGAATTTGTTTTTTCTTAGCAGTGTCCTCCTTTACTTTTTCTGATTTCCTTACCTTTCTACATGCTTGGTACATGCAAACAGACCAGTTGTCCTCAAAGTGAACTGGACAGGGAGTCCTGCCTGGGACTTTCAAGGTGAGTCCACTGTGGTTCTCATCCTGTTCCCTTTCCTCTGCTGCAAACATTGTCCACAACCCTCATTTCTCAGCAACAACGATGTGTATCATTTGTGACTTATTTTCATTTCTTATCTGCTCTGAGTTCAACTATCTCTTGAGAAGAACTTGGTTTGGAGGTGTTATTTTCAAGTGAGAAAAATAACTGTCTCTGGTTCAAAATATAAAAAGAAACCACAAAACTCAGCATCTCTATAGAGACAAGCTCTATCCTCACAGAGGATGCAGAACTGTCTTATCTGGTATGATCAGAAGGTTCTGAAATTGCCCTGATAAACATGTACCTGTCACCCACTGGCTTTACGCTGTTAGAAAAGTGGTCCGTCACCAAGTAAACAATACCCAGAAAAACTGAGAAAGGGGTCCAATGAGCTTAGTGAAGACCAAAGTCATTTGGCTTAAGAGTTAAACATAAAAGTCCGCAAATATTGGGTGTCGTGTAGAAGATTTCTCAGATAAAGTCTGTGGCCCATTACTCTTCACTGAGCAGCATTTTAGAAAAGATATATTAGCTTTTGAAGGCTAACACTTGCAGATTCTGGGCCTAGGGCTTGAAATCACTTATTCTTCAGAGTGCCAGAGGCAGTGTCTGAAGTGATGGAAGGGAAAAGGCACTGCAGCTATGGCTGAATTGGTCTAGAGCTGGGCCACAAAGTAACCCAAGAAGAAAAGGGGCATCTCGGTCTATCCTCCAAGAACAAACAGGTAAGTGAAGGGAGGTGCGTGGTTGCTATTGAGGCTCAGCACACCCGCCTCTGGTTGTCACAGTAAAGAGAGAAGTCGGAGATGCTCCTTCTCCTTCTTAAACTGATAACTACCTTTGCACCGACGACCAAGTATGGACAGCACACTGATGTGTGGCCCGTTGCTGAGAGTCGCTTCTCTGTAGCAGTCAACTTGCTTCTCATATGAGTTGTATAATTCCCTTTGTCCTCAGCTTCCCCTTCCTTTTCCAAGTCAACTCGGACAAATCTAAATGTGTCCACATGACTCATTCAGAACCGTCTGAATTTATATTTTCCTGGACTACAGTCCTCATATTTCAAGCAGAATTCTTCTGATTTTACAGTTTCTGAGCTTGAACTGATCAGCACCTCGAAATATGTATCAACTCTCTCCATTTCTAAGTGTAAGACTATTCCAACCAAATACCAGTGGGGTACTTTTTCAGAAATGCTTTTAACTTTCACCTAGAAAATTAAATACCTGAGAGTAACAAAGAAGATATAAACACGTAGACTGAGGAGGACATTTGTTCATCTTAATACAGTCAATAATACTACTGGCATATCAATGTTTTACCCATCAAGGAGTAAAAAACAGAAGATGTGAACTGAACTGAAACTCTTGACATGTCCTAGGAAGTGTGAGAATGGAGTAAATGATAAATGTTTTATGCTCAGTTCAGCAGGAAAGTCACTTATTTAATACATTTGTCTATCACAAACATTATCTTAAGCATATACCAAAAGTGAGTGTCTGTTCTGCTTTGACACTTTTCTGTATCTCTTAGTAAACATATGCTTATGCTTTCCAAGGCAGCTGTATGTCTCAGGAACATGGGCTTTGGAAAGTGAAGCCATAGGTCCACTGTCCAGTGGCAGAAGACAGGGTCTCATGGCACATAAGCCACTAGGTGGACGTCAGGCTGTGTCCTTTGGTTTCTGATAGTTCCTAGGATCACTATCATCATGAAATCTACTTCCCTCCTTCCCCAGGGACAGCAGCTAGGATCCTTCTGCCATGCAAAATAGAACAGAGATGAAGAAACTATGCTAAGGCTTTTCCCATTCCCTCCTATCACCCATCAGTCCTACTCCCCAGGTGAATTTTGAACCTGAAGGATAGTGAGGTACAAATGAGGCCTGTCATCATGCTCAGGCATCCAGAGAGCTCAAAACCAGACCCACATCCTACTCCCTTCTCAGCATTTTCAGCATTGCTTCTTATAAACACTGTCTGTGGGAGCAGCCCCCCCCCCCAGCAGACACCCATACGTCACAGTTCTCCCACAGATCAGGTAGATGGCAGCACTGGAATTTAAGATGTTCAGCTGCTTCCTTTTTTTTCCTTGTCTCCATTCAGCTCTCTATTCCCACCTTGCTGGGAAGCCACGTACATATGCAGACCCTTACCTCATCCAGAAGGAAAAGTGTGGGTAAGTATGAGGCAGGCTGAGAATAGCTTTACCTTGGAACACTAGAACTCAGATCTAGTCAAGAGTCATGAGCTCCAAGAAAAAGGAGGGGGCACGTATAGCCTTCTCAGTCTAAATCAACTCTAGAGAGGTAGACTCTCTGGTGTCCTCTGTCCAAGCCCACTTGGCATCTCTAGGGCATTCCACATCCTATGGCCAGAAGTAAGACCCACCATCCTGCCCCAGGATGACTTTCTGGATACCCAGTCACAACTTCAGTCATCATTCTGACCCCTACGATGTTCCCACTAGTTATGACTTACTAGTTATGGTTCCAGAGGAAGGCCTGCTCTTTCTGCCTGATTCTCTATTCCTGGCCCTCCTTCTCCTCAGCTCAGTATCTCTCCATCCCATGTTTCAGAACCACTGCAGTCACCAATCTTCCCTGGGTTCTTTTTATCATTTCAAGATAGAAGTCACAAAGAGGCAAGCAATACTGACCAAATGAGGCTTTATTTAGGGCTTATGCTCAAGCACAAGTGCGACAGTTCACAGCGGGTTTGCAGACTGGCTCCCTATGGAGGTATCACACCCAGTTTATACTCCAGCAGAGGAGCTGCACAGTACTTTTGGCATCTGTTGCACATGACTCACAATTTCTGCACACATCCTGTCTTTGGGTGCCGGCACCAACGTTTGGTCTTAACACAGTGATCCTTTCATGTACACTGAGTCTGTCTCAGCTCACCAAAGTGGTGCTCACTGCTGCCATCCCAATTCAGCAAGAATCCACTATTCTGCACATGCCAAGATTGCAAGGAAGTCTACCAAGCATAGAAAAAAGTTGGTGATCGTAACCTAGTTATCTTAGAGGACATAACTTACTAAAATAGTTCACATCAAGGAGGGACTCTATGGACAGGGATCTGGGCCTTCCTAGTCTATCTCATTGCCATGTTATGCCTACTATCCAAGCAAGTACTTTAACAGTCATCACACCTGCCGCCTTTGTGGGTGAGAATAAAGCCCAAGGGATGTGGAGCCATCTGGTCAATGGCTCCCACCAACTTGCATCGACACAGGCTTACTGATCCCCAGACAGCTGCAGGTGTTACTGGAGAAAGTGCCAGACTTGTCCTCAGGAAGGTTTGGTTCTACATGAGCATTGATACGAACACCAAGAAATGTGATTCCAGGGAGAAATAAGGTCTCATATAAGGACCTCAGGCTGTTGGGGTACAAAAGGAGAGCCCAGAGCTCAGAAGAGGCAGTGAAGAGCTGGTATATGAGTAGGCACCTGGATTTAGGGCCCCATCCCTTTGCCACATCACCCAGATCTGGGGCCCTAGGTGGTTCGCTAGGTGTGTGAACAAGCTATCAATAAGGGCTGGACATGGGATTGTAGAAACTGAGCCATCTCCTGCTCACATGCATGGATGCAGCCTCCCCTGGAAGTGTTTTTAGCTCAGATTCCTTCTGGATTTGGGACAGGCCTTCCAGCCAAGACTCCTTGTGGAGCACCTCCTCAGAACCTTGCTCAGGTCATCTGTGTTTCCCAGGCTTCCTGGCACAGAACCTGCTGCTGAGAGTAATGGTAAGCTCTGTTGCTGTCACAACCTTCATTCTCCCACTGGATCCGCTCGATCTGATTCATTAGGTCCTGCACTTGGGCTTCCTTCTCCACCCCCTTCGCCTTGTTGTTGAAGCCACAGTGGCGCCGCTCGCACAGTTCATCCAGCTGGGCAAGGCTCTGGTTGCTGGTCTCTCGCACATATTTATCCAAGGACTCGCCAGCCAGATCTTCCTTCCGGGTGAACACCAGGATAGTGTGAGCCAGGACACCCCTTCCAAAGATCTTCTCAAGACACCTAACAACCTGCTGATCCTGTTCTGTGAAGCGGCCCACCTGTGTTACCAGAAGCACAGCATAAGGCCCCGGGGAAGAGACTAAGCTTTGACAGCTTGCTTCAACTACTTCTGGCTGCATCCTAGAGGACAGAATATCTGGGGTGTCAATCACCTCAAGTTCCCTCCCACTCCACTCTCGCCTTTCTCTCTGGAAGGCCAGGGTCACTGGCTTAGCACTGAGTTTAGACTCAAATACTTCCCTGCCAAGAATAGTGTTTCCTGTTGCACTTTTCCCACTTCCTGTTTTCCCTACTAGAATGAGCTTCAGGCTCCTTGGGATGAGTTTTTTCTCCGTCAAACCTGGAAACATAAACAAACAAACAAACAAACAAAGGAAACGGGTTAGAACTCAGTCTACTTCGTTTCATGAAGCTAAGTACCTGGCTTTGCTCCATTACCTTAGGGGTTCCAATACACTGAGACCTGACATGGGTTCACAGTTTTAGTCTACATCCTTGAAAGTGGGACTGATCGGTCTTACTCAGGAATATCAGTGCCATTACTGAGAGCAGAGACTTGGAGATGCCAAACAGACACTGGAAACCTAGCGCCAAGATTTTTAGATATGACTGGGCTGGAAGGCAGGTGTCAAGACTCAGAGCACATAAAGAAGTGACAAACAATAGTGGGTTTCCAAAAATGATCTCACTGAAGATACTGATGGGTCCAGACCACAGAACGCTAGACTCCCAAAGACACATGGGCACTTGTTTTCTCTTAACCTCCTTAGCACTGACCAGTTTTGTGGTACCCTCCAGCTGCCCTTGGCTGGCTTATCTGCTTCACAATTCTGAAACAGTGACATCGGTTCCCTCTAGTTTCTACAAATGGGTAGGAAAGGAACTTGAGTTATTGTAAACCCAAATAATGAGATCAGTCTTCCAAGTATTATAATCCTCTTTCTAGTTTTCCTTATAATCCAAAAGGTTATATTTGTACTCCCATTGAGACATCATTGGAATCCCAGCAAGTTAATTCCAATCTACCACCTCCAATGCAACCCACAACGAGAGTAAAAGCACCAAGACATGTTCCAAATTAAGGGCAGCCAAGGGGTCCTAAATCCAATCCCTGTGAGGACATTCGGACAAAGACTTTGATCCTAGGCCTCTCCCAGAATTTATTATCTTGTGAAGAAGGAGGATGGCCCAGGGATGAGTTGGGGGGGGTGGGATTTTGTAACTTGAGCTGGCTGGCCAGGTGCAAGATTGGCATCTCTGGAAATTGCAGAGATAAAGACATGCAGAAGGCTTATTTACATAATCCAATTAAGGTAGCAGTGAAATTGTGTTGGGGGCTATTGCTTTGGTTTCTGATATGCAAACTATTGTGCCCTGGGGAGTCAGAGCCTCTTATCTTGAGCAGGAAGTCAGAGGAAGTATGGATGATTAGATGCTCTTTCCTGCTGGCCTAGTCAATACACACCTGGTGAGGGGAGTAGCTCCCATTAGAGCAGCTACAACCAGGTTCTACCGCTGGTCTTTAAAGCCAAATTTATCATCTGAGCTCTTGTATTTAAGTTAGTATCTAACCTTGTTTACTGTAAGAAAAGGTAAAAGTATATTCATTGCACTGGAAATTTTTTTATGTAGTAGATTAATATGATGTTTTCCCAATGGCCTAGGTCCTTAAGGTTCATAAAGTATAAAAATAATTCACACTGAATACATAACAAATCACAAATAATTTCCTGTAGACAGGAAAATGGGTGAGCTTCCAGCATTCTTAAATTATGTCTCCCACCCAGGGATTGCAGGCTTCCAACCTTGACTCAAGACTGGTTGTTTTCATCACACCCACAGCCACATAGCACATCCTTCCCAAGAAGAAAAACCTAGAGTCTGAAGACTTTTTTTCTTTGGAACCTATATTTCTTATTTCCTTTTGCCTGTCATACTTATCAGAGGTCTTTTTCCTTAATTTTGGCTGAGGTGGCTATATCTCTGCAGCAGGAGCCTTCAGCTGCCTCTCTAAGCACTCTATTTGTGGAGCCTGTCCCCTCCTGGACACCAACTGTCCACTTTGGCACTGTCCTCCAGTGTACCTCTGCTAAGGAAGCAGTTTTACCTCCTGACAGCTCTTCTGTAGCATTCTGGAGAGGCAGGCTTGGAAAAATCTCTGAAATCAGTACATACTCTTCCACCTAGAGAAAATAATAACGAAATTTACTGATTTTCCAAATAAGTTTTATGGCGCTTTTACCTTTTTCTTGTGAGAGGGAAGATTTTGCACTGGGTTAAAGTCAAGGGAGACTAAGTGAGGACAAGGTAGGAGAGATCTAAGACATTTTCTGCTCGCTTTAGAGACCCTGTCCCACTCCCACTGGTCTCCATCTTGACTATAAACAACTTCTTGGGGAAAGGAATTGCTGCCCTGGAACTGATGAGTGAATAGAATTTGGGTGGACAGAGTCTGGAAGAGGAGGGGAAGAAGAGCAGAGAATCTGATGGGACCCTGAATGTGTGTGTCCCACAGTGTGCTTGGAGGGCATGAATAGAAAATTGTGGGAGTGGCTCATTCTGCATTTTGGGGCCATAATGGGCCACCCAGGCTTGATCTTTGGAGCAGGTTTGGAAGAGAGGCATGAAACAGCCAGGTGCTACTGTTGTGAAGAAGATGGCACCCTTGAGGACCTTGGAGACATACACCTCCATGCTCAGTGGAGACACAGCCATCAGTTAGGATGCTCCCACACTCCTTGGACCACGACGTTCCTTCGGGGTAAATTTTGGATGTAAACTGGAAGATGCCTTGAGATCTCTTTCCATATAAGGTCCCAACATATTCATAGCATTTTTATTTATTTATTTGGTACTGGGAATTGAACTTATGACCTCATGCTTGCCAGGCAGGCACTGTGTCTCTGAGCTACAACCCTGGCCCCCATTCACAGAAGTTTTATAGCAACTTTTGAGTTCTTTGCACTTTAGGACCACATCATCCCCTGCCAGGACTACCCATCTGGTGAGAGAGCAATGTGTCTTCATTTCATGGACTAACACAATTCTCTATTTCAGCAGCCCCTGGGGCTGTATCTACTTGATATATATTTTTTTTCAGAACCAGGGAGAAAACTACCCAGCTCATGACTGCTTTTTCAGAATATGTAGCCATTCTGAGGCAGATTACACATATCCAGGGAAAGGCTGTGGGTAAGAGGAAGCCCAACCCCAGAGGATCATAACAGACATGGTTTTCTCATTACCACTGTTGGATGCGCCTTTTACTCTGTACACCTGACAAACCACTTTATCCTCCCGAACTCTCAGGCATTGGCAGTACAGGGTGGTGGCAGGGGAGGTGTTCTGCTGTGGTTCTAGCAGTCTAGGTTGGTAATGAAGGAAGCCCAGGAAGGTTTGCTGACTTCCGGACAGCCTCATACAGACCCACACGCTACATGCTGGTAAGAACACAGTCTTCCACCTGCCCAGTGGGCTCCTGTGAATGGGGGCGGGGGAGGTGTCCACTGCCTTCTGCACCTATGCATAGTAGGCTGCAAACCTGCACTGTGCCCTGGCACAGCCTAGAAAGGATTTTCATCCTGCAAGCCTCACTGCCTCACCTTTGGTCCCATCTGTAACAGCACCACACATACACTGGCCACACTTTCTAGTTCTTTTCTTTTCCTCCCATTCAGAAGATGGAGTTGATATTGCCTCCTTTACTATGTTGGCCAGGAAAAGAAATCAAAATTCACAGAAGAGTGTTGCCAAATATTGAGCTCATAGCAGGAAACAAGAGTCTCCCCAGTCCCGGCTCTTTCTATCACACCATAGCACACATGCACCCACATATACCTGTTGACACACAATACACAGAAGTACACATATAGCCATATAAATTCACACTAACATATATACACAACCCATACATCTACACAAACAGCACTGTGCAATACATGCATATGTAAACACATGCACACACCCAAACGTGATGTACACACAATTCACACACATGCACATACACATACATTCACATGAACACAGCACATACACGAGGATACATGCAGGTGAACTTACCATCTGACAGGCCAGCAGGGAAGAAGAGTGACCGTGTTTCCCATCTCGCTGGGCTATGGAATCTTGCCAATTCCATATTTCTTCTTTTGGGGCCACCACACAGAAGTCTGCTTGAGAATGTGAACAGAAAAGCCTAAAGAAAGCTTTCAAGATGTAGGAAATCATGAGGCCAATGCTTTGCCTGTGTTCTTCAGCAAAATGTGATCTGAGCTCAAGAATGGAAACAACCGAGTTCACTATGAGACAAAAACAGGAAGTAGGCGGAAACACAGAAAACCAGGTGCATGTGGTCTCAAGAGCAAAGAAACTGAACAGCTGTGGTGGGTTGCTTTTCTGCTGCTCCTCAACAACTAGGCTAAGAGGCTTAACAAGCACCGGGTATCTCAGAAAAAGTTGTGCCTGGGACACAAACTACTGATCTTTCCTTTTTGAGCTTTGCCCTCCTCCCAGAGAACCCCACAGGTTCAACACTAAGCAAATATTCATTGTCTGTTTTCTTTCTCTAATCCTTCCTTCCTCCAAATATTTTCTCTTCAAACAAGCTCCAATACTCATCCTTTCTAAGGCATAAGTCACTGGCAAGAATTTTAATTATTGTCTGACAATGTATATTCTAACAAAGGCAAAAGCAAAAGTCTGTGTAAGCTGTATGACTACAGGGGACCATGTAACGGGGAGGGACAGGGTTTCAGAGACAGAGTACACTCTAGGAAGAAACTTTAAGATTCTCAAAAAATGTATTCTCTGGGATTTTCTCCACAGCTCTTACCACCATAATTAAAAAACAGCCTTTAAAAGAAGTAACTAGAAACATTTCAGCAGGGGTGATAACACAGTTATGTGATTTTTTTTTTTTTTTTTTGGTCTTTTTCGTTTTTACTGGTACCAGGGATTGAACTCACGACTGCCTGCTTGCAAGGTTGCAAGGCAGGCGCTTATGCCGCTGAGCTAAATCCCCAGCCCCGAGTTATGTGATTTTAAAATGCTAAGATTTTCCCCAAATCTCACTCAGTGGAATAGAGTGGTTCTTATTTTCTTTCATGCAGTTCTGACTGACCACCAAGGAGTATTTGCTACAATAGCTACATAATGCAGAAATCTCATGTTCTAGTTTAAATTGTTATGTAAATGCTTTAACATGAGCAATTCTCAAAAGTCACATGTTGAGTTTTGCCATTCTCCCCACTGCCCAAGTAATGAAAATACTGTTGCTTCCCCTATTGAAACAAGATTATCAATTTCAGTATTTGTCATTTTCTACAAACTGATCTTGGAGTTGCCCAGACCTTTCGCAGAACAAGCCAGAAGTCAGCCCAGTGTTTAGTCATAGAAGTTTTCCAGCATAGTTGGGCCTCATCAGATCGATATAGAATGTGACTCTGACGTTAGATTTTTTTTTTTTAAGCTTCACTTTTGGTAATTTCTCTGTCAGAGGAAGTTTCACAATTATTGATGGTTAACTCAAATATAACAACCCCTGGTACTAAAATCAAGATGACTTTACTCCAGACAAGGTTTGCATATATTTTTACTGGGAACTGAGGAGAGGGGGGTGGTGATCACATTGGCAGCATTCTGGGATCTCTGATTTCATCTGAGAATATCAAAATGTGTGCCCTAGAGAGAAGAGCAGAAATCTCCATCTGGTTTTGGGTCCACCAGCCTTCCTTGAAGTTAGCTCACACTTACCATTTTAGTTTAAATTGTGTTCGATTTTATTGCTACTACTTCTTTTGTAGCAATTTTTGTACTTGTTTTGTTCAGGAAGGACCTTTTTGTGCTAATTTCTTAAACAGGGAACATCTCCACAGAATATGTTTCACAATCTTTCTCGTGTCTCACTTCTTAAACCACATATCTTGACCAGAACCCAGGACCCTGGCCCCACTTTAACTGCAAGGAAGCTGGGGTGCAAGAAGAGCACATGGGTGCCTGTTGAACACTGATGTTCTTGGACATCATCCAACTCTGAGGTAGCCTGGGAAGAAAAAGTCACAGTTACAAATAGCTAAAAAATAAAAAAATAAAAAGCATTCAAAGTGTTATGGCTTGGGTATAGATGTCCCCTCAAAGCCTCATGTAGTCATAGATGAGGTTTTATTTTAGAGGTGACTGGATGTAGAGTGTGTGATGTTGGGATTTGATTCACAGTGCAAATGCTAGGATGAAGGCCACTAGGCTTAAGGTGGGAGTGCTGCCCACCTTGAGTAGCTCAGGGAACATATAAGGGATAGAAAGAGCTGTGGTCATCCCTTATTGCTTTGCTGCCTTCTGCTCAACATGAACTGTTTCTCCTCTGAATGCCCCTCTGCCATGCCACTCTGCCTTGGAGCCAGCCAATTATGGACTGACACCTCTACAAAATGCGAGCTAAATAAAACTTTCCTCCTTTACCTTAGGGTGTGGGGTATTTTGTTTCGACAATGAGAAAAGTAACTATGATAGGTAGTTTCAAAATTATGACCATTGTAAAATTAAATACTAACATTTGCATAGTACTTCTTGTAACCAGGCACTGCTTTAACAGCTTTACATATGTTAACTTCGTTAATTGTCACAGCAATTCTGTGAGGAGGAAAACTGTTCTGTGTTCAGTTTTTACAGATGAGAAGATAGTCATAAGGAGGTTATGCATCTTGATGGTAAAGTAACTTGCCAACTTGCCCAGGGTCAAATACTAGCCTGGAAGCTACTACAAAGTTATCCTCTAGCTGTGGTTAACATTCAAGTCTGTGCACTTTGAGAAAAGCAGACTGTTACATGGAACAGACTTAAAGATACCCAACAAAGGAAAACAGAAGCCTAGGATTTGTGATGAGCTGATGCCACAAGGCTCAGGAAATGTGCTTGGAATAGATGGAGACAGTAGTGTGTGTGCTACACTTGCACTCCAGCCAAGGTTATGCCCCCAAAAGCAGATGGCCCTGGAGTTTACATGCCTCCAATAACGTTATTCACTGGGCTAAAGCTAGAAAGACATCCTGATTCTAGAAAGGGACTGAAATAAATTCTGGACTCCTCCATTCAGTTTCTTCTTGTTTCCAGAGATTGCCTTCTTAAACATTTTGAAGTTATCCTTGATAATGAGCATCTCCCTTTCCTCCTTGGGAGTGGCCTCAATGCTAGTGGTAGAGCTGCATATCATGGGAGGTTGCTGGGTGTTAACATGGAAGTCAAGATAAAAGAAAAAAGAGAAGGTGGACAATGGCAAGACACAGGCAGGGTGCAGCCCAGAGCCCCAGCCCACCCAGGACAGACCTGGAACTCAACAAGATGGATGAAGTTGGAAGTCAAACACTGAAGCTTTCTGAAATGACAACAGAAGTGAAAAACAAACAGTGGAAAAGGCTACAGATAGAATGATCTCTCAGATATAAGAAGAAATGATGGTTAAAGTCAAAGATATTAGAGAGGAAACAAGAAAAAGAATAGATGATCTTTAAAAATGCCCAACACAGGAGAGAAATGGAATCCATGAAACTGATCCAAACAGAGATCCAGGAGATTAAAATCTTCATTAAAAATATATTCAACATACTGAATGAAGGAAAGGATAGAATTTCAGATCTTGAAGACAGAATTTCAGCCAGAGATCATGAAAAGAAAGATATCTTAAAAATAGCAAGAAACCATGAGAAATCAATCCAACAGCTGCAAGACAAAGCAAAGAAAAACAATCCAAGTTTTATTGGAGTCAATGAGAAAGCTGGAAACAGCACAAATGCCATAACAATCAGAAAAAAATATATGTATCTAACACAGGAGCACCCAACTATATAAGACAGGTATTGGTAAACATGGAAAATCAAATAAGCAATAACACAATGTAAGGGGAGACCTCAATACCCATTGTCACAGAGAGACAGATCAATTAGACAGAAAATCAGCAAAGAAATATCAGAGCTGACCCAAATCTGTGAACAGATGGACCTAATGGGAAGAAGCCAAGCCCGGACACTATGTGCTCGTGGCCCAGAGAGACCTGATAAGCCCAGTGGCAGCCCGGAGAAGAGGCCATGACCCCAGGGTCCATTGCCACTGAGAGAGCATCGGTGAACCACACTCTGTGCTTCTCCACCACTTTAGGAACTCCAGATTGGAAGAACCCAGGTGTCTAGTCCAGTCCACTACCAAGAGGGCCTGGCAGCCAAAGCAAGGAGGTACCCAGGTTGCAGCAATGGGCTGATTCAGAGAAAGATAGGAAATTGTCAAGGTGAAGGAGCAAAATACAATCTCAGACCTGGGCCCACACAGAACAAGTTCAGGGGACACAGACATGGGAGAAATTAGAATTCACACACCTAAAATTTGTGAAAAGAAAACAACTGAAGTAAAAAAGCAACTTAGTTCTTGTGCTAAGTTAATTTTACATGTCTCAATTTCAAACCCATGACCATGGAATCAGTCCTGGAATCAGTCACAAGCTAATGTAGGTGAAAGAAAAATATGCAAGTGTTGACTCCTAGCCCTGCAGTTGTCTGGAAAGTATACACTGCATCATGAATGCAAAGAAAACATAGGCATAAAATTGTAAACTGGATATAAAATTATTAGTATCTTGGATAATATGACTATATGTCTGGGAAAATAAAGAGAACAACTGATAAGATATTAGAAAAGAAAATTTACTAATGTGATAGGTACAAACTAAATGAGACTAATAATAATTCACTATCACACAAAGAAAAAATTAACTATAACTCACAATGCTTTAAAAAATCTACAGATAAACTGTTTTAAAATGTATAAGAGCTATAAAGAAAAATTTAAGAAACTTCTGAGGCTAAGTGGAAAAAAAAAGAAATCTAATAGAATGTGTGAGGAAAAGCTTTTAAAAAACAGCTGTATAATACACCTGAATGGGAAAAACTATCACAAAAAGTCAGCAAATTCTTTCCAATGGCTCTTATGAATATACTACAATATCAGCACTTTTTATTTTTTTCCTTCTCTGTTTCTATAGTACTGGAATTTAAACCTAGGACCTTCACACTGAGCTATATTACCAGTCCTTTAAGCACTTTTAAAATCCTATAGTTGTTTTTTTTTTTTAACTCGTCTGCACAAAGAGGTCTAAAACCCTAGGAAGTAAGCCAGACCTGCATGAAAAAGAAACAAGCCTGCTAGATGCAGAGATCACTAGTGAACCCCTCAGCTCTCCAACACCAGAGCCTTGGTATCCTAAGCATGAAACCCTCAGATGAGCCCTCAGCTCCCACCAATTCAGTGAGAAAGATCAAACAGTGCTTTTTGGGTGACTTAGACACAGCACTTTCTGAGGATCATAGGGTCTGAGATGAAGATGTATAGGTATGAAAACTTGAT